AAAAACAGGGGAAAGAGGAGAGACTTGTTCATTAAAGATGCAGTATCCCTGGTTCACACAAATACATCTGGCAGGTTCAAAATCGAATGTCAACCAGAGGTCTTAGCAGAGTGTGAGCTTTAGTTCATGTGTTGGTTAGTCACAAGCATAGCTGGTTTTGAATTCTGAAATACTAATAGCTCCACATTTGCTAATGTGCTTCATATGAAAATCGGCAGGTGATTCAACAACTGAAGGCTTTGTCAAAAGAAAAAAGATTAAAACATTGAACTGTAAAATGGTCATGTATATCTCCGCATGTATGAAGAAAGAAGTAAACAGTTGCTTCTGAATGTAACATAGATGTTAGTTTTAAAGTTCGGATAGGTGGTTGTGAAATCAGCAAACACACAAACACACACACAAACACACGCACATTATATCTATAAGAACTTTAGTGGCCTTAATAATTCAACAAACTGTGTCCCTTTCACTTTGCAAAATACAGTTTCAGTGATCATGATCCCCAATTCTTGTTAAGAAACATGAGAATGGGATTATAGAAGTAGCTTTTTGCTTAGAGTTGGACACATTTTCAGAGAAAGAAATTCTAAATGCCTCTAAAATGTATTTTCCAACCCACAAATATATTTAAATTTACAAAGACCTATTTTAGGAATTAATTTGGACTTTCTTGGATGTAGTCTTTTGAAAAGTGCATAGCCAAGTACTATGCAACCTATGTAAATTGACCTTGCTATTTTATATAGCATAGCCTCTGGATAGCTTTTATCACTTGCCCAGATGGTGTTTGGCCTATGTATTTTAGTGGAATGGTTTATTTTCTCCTTGATAGGTTTCAAATGCACAAGAAAACATTATACCCGTCTATCCGCATTTGAGTAGAATACAAACTGACTAATAGATAAACATTCTGTGTGAAAGTAAATAGCCTTAAAGTATACTGCCTTCACATTCCATTGATCAGCTCAGTCAGCAAAGTTTTCCATATTGTCACTAATGTTCTAAATATTTTGGTGAGAAGCATGCCAGAAGTGTAGAGTATTTCCATTTGTGTCATATGTATGGTTATTATGAACTAACTCTTGAATTTCTATTGATCTTTCTGAAGTAGTTTCCTTCACTTCCTTTTTGTCCCTGTTGGAAATGTTATTGCAGTTGTGAAGAAGAGAATTAGGGGCTGTTATATGGACTGGCTCAAATCTCCTGGCCGGATGGCAAGGGATTTAGACCGGCTCATTACCTTACCTTCATTAGTAGCCTTCTCCAAATTCTTAGCAGTCTAAAAGAGGCCCAGAGTACAAAGCCTGATTACTCAGTTGTACTATTACTGATTGCACATTCACCACTGAGGCTGTGGTGCCCCACCCCCACCCAAGCTCCAAAAGGGATGGTCAGAAAAGAGCTCATTATTAGGCTAGTCCATAGAAGAGCTCATAACGCTGTCATGCAGAATCAAAGAATCACTGGAGAGCACTATCTACTCAAAGGTCAGCCTTATCTCCCCCAGCAGATCTTCATTTCTTCAGCATGCCCAATTTCCTAAGAGATCAAATCCTAGAATTTGTGAGGCTAAAGGAAATTCACACACGACTTCAGCTTCTGCCTAAATATAGGGATTTTTGACCACTCATGTCTCAAAGTAATTTTTAAGTCATTTAAAGATAAAAGCCAATGTGTATGACTTTATTTTCAGTTTTATAAATGAGTGTAAAACACAATAGTGCAGTCATATATTTGGCATTAACTCTTACTAGCCACAAAAAATGTGGATCAATATTGGATTTTCCAAAGTTGTCTAAATAAGACTGGGTTTGTCAAACTTGCCTGTTGCTTTCAAGTGAACACAGCATGTTGGAGGAAATGAAATGTAATGTCTAAAAGACAGAAAATAGGTCAGCACTGTGTAAAAGTAAACTTGTCAGTGAGATCAATATGAACCGACTAGTTAATGGGTGTATTAGAATTTCCTTACAACAAAGGGTATGCAGGGTAGAGCCAGAATATGATTGTAGCATTTATTCACTTGTGAAAAGCAGAGGATGTACTTAAATATTATTTTTTGTATCCTTAATGAAAGGCACTGCTTTTTTAATATGGAATATTTATATATAAGCACAGTTTTAATTCATAGAATATCATAGTAAATTAAATTCTGGTTCACTTGCTCAGTTTTCAGGAACATGAAAAATAAAAACGAGTAATGATCAAGCATCAAAATTTCAGAAATATCATGAAGTTCTCATTAGCTTTCTCTATGTTATGTTTCAGAGAATTTGACATTGTGGATGAAATCAGTAAAAATATTTGAAGAAAAAAAAACAATAACAGAAAGAACTTTCTTGGGGCTTCCCATTGCATTTATTTAAAATTTTAAAAAATGTACATCACTTTTTGAATACATAAAATGCCAGTGCTTTGCAACAGTTTTGTTACTGCATCTCTCAACTAAAAAAAAAAGAAAAAAGAAAAAAGAAAAAAAGAAAGAAGGAAAAAAAAATAACAGGAAAAATACATTCAAAAAGCCAGGTTGTTCTGCTTATGCACGGGCAGTGGCTTTGGAAAGCTACAGCCTACACTGTGTCTGTTCAGAGGCATTGCCGAGTATCAGTCAGCTATCAATGAAAAGTTGCACATAAAGCATTAAAGGATACAAAGAACAACTCGGTGGGGAGCAGTAGAAGAATGGAAAATTAAGAAAAATGCCACATATGCTATTGGAGTAGGGGCAGACTCAGGTAGAAGTAAGCAGGAAGACTAATATATTTGGAAACTGGATTTATGGGAAAAGATGGAAGAAAACAAAGTAACATGTTTGGCAAGCTGTCGCGCGCGTGTGTATGTGTCCACTTCCAATTTTCTACTTTACAAGAGAAATGTTAACAAAACTGAGGTAGAAATGAATGTGGGAGCACTACAGCCCAGAAGATTTCAAAATGAGAAGCAAAATTGCACTGACGAGAGGAGTCAAAAAGGAGAGGGGTGTAGATGTTCTCTGTGGGTATATTGGTTGGTTGTATTTTTGTGTTTATTTATTTAATTACTTGTTTGTCCTGGTTGCTATCTTCTGCATTCTATCAAACAGCATGGCAAGCCTGTAAATTAGATTAGTGAATAGAATGACACCATTCCCAGCAGTTTTAAGAGAGAATTTGCAAACCACCACCACCACTACCACCACCTATGCAATAAAACTCAGTCCTAGTGTTTAGGTACTGTGACTTTCAGGGTCCTAAACAGGTCTTGTGGTTGACTGTTCTAGACACTAACACAAACTGAATAAGTAGCTTTCCATTAACCAGTGTACCTTTTAAGAACATTTTCACTTCATTATCAAGGAGCAATGTACGAAGAACTCTTGCAGTTACTGACATAAAGAATTATTCTGCTCTGGTCAATACCCCATAATTAGTAAAAGAACCTTCAAAAAAATCCTTTCATTTCTACTTTAAATTGTAAATATTCAGTTGTATCACATGTCAGTATTTTTCTGGATACATTCAAAGTAATTTTCCTTGTTATTTTCCAATTTTTGAGGTAAACATACATTTTAATATAAAGTAACATTGAAGCCTATCCCATTACTCTCAGCAGTACATAGTGCTTTTAACACATTCCTTTGAGGTACTGTACAAATCACAATCGCTTTCCTGAGTTTTTGCAGACAAGAACATTAAAAGAAATGAACTGCAGAAATTAAGGTCCAGATTACCGTTACCCTGTTTTACCTGTTCTTAGCTTAATACTGCAGAACAGACAGGATTGAGGAATACTGTTGCTCTTAAAATGGCAAAAATCTGGTTTTCTGTCATAACACAACCGTTCATCTCTTTAGTCCAATAATGTTTGAAGTTAAAGCTCTTTATATTAGCACATGCCACCAATGTAATTGTGAGGCAAACAAAAAATAAAGCACCACTCCAGGCACTTGACAGCAACTAAATCTCAAGAACAGCAGAATGGAATCAACACACGAGGTTCATGTCCTTCTGAAGTCAACACACTTGCACCTTGCTCCTTGGTGAGTGCTGTCTAGCTTGAACCGAACTGAGCATCCACGGATGCTTTCTGTCATCTGGGGCTTTCAAATCAGAAGCTCTCATTTGATGCATTTTTCCTCCAAATCTACCCTGACTCTAAAGATTCAACTTAATCGTCGTCTTCCCCAGTATCCTTTGCAATTTGAACACTACTGAAAAGGGGCTCTATACCCTATGTAGCAGGTTTTATGTGTGTGTGCCAACATTCATTACACTTTTTTTAAAGAAGTTATCACTGACTGCAACCAAACATTTTGTTCCATTCAACATACATATCAAGCTCTTTTTGAGATATGCTAGGCTGAATCTTGCAGAAAGCATTTTCAAAGTCTTGATATGTAATGGGCCTCAACTGGCTGGGCATAATGGCTGAAAGGTCTGTGGCTGGCATGGCATGGAGGGGGCCCACCGCTGCTTCCTGACACAAATGGGCCACGTCTAGTCCAGAAAAGCCTTCTGTGCGCTGGACGAGCAGTGCAAACTCCTTGTCATTGAGACAGTAATTGTGCTGTGAGAGCAGTTGTACTATTATCTGGTGCCTCGCTGTGCTGTCAGGAAGTGGGATTAAAAGTCGTTTCATGAAGTACCTCCGAAGAGATTCATCTATTTCTTCTGGTTTACTGGTGGCACAAATTACTACAATTTGGTCCTCAGCCGATGTTAGTACAGTGTCCAGTTGCATCAGAAATTCGGTTCTCATCCGACTGACTGGGCTGTGTTCCTCACTCACTTGAGAGGAGAGAAGCATGTCAATGTCACTGACAAAAATCACCGAAGGCTGGCGACACCTGGCCACAAGAAAAGAGGCATGGATAATTTTCTCTGCTTCTCCTAACCACTTGGCAACTAGTCCAGAACCAGCAATTTTGAAAAATGTGGCCCCCAGCTGACTAGCTATGCATCTGCCCAATAATGTTTTGCCTGTTCCCCGAGGTCCAAATAAAAGGATGCTCCGAGGTAAGGCCGTCAGTCCACTGAATGCATCTGACCTCAACACTGGCCATAAAACCTCCTCTTTAATGACAGCCTTTACCAGGTCAAGACCAGCAATGTCGTTCCAGTCCACTGGTGGTCCTTGGGTGATAATCTCATTGGTTACCAGGTCAATGAGGTGTGTGTCAGTGTTCTTCAGTTGCTCGTCCACAGAGTGGTTGGATGAGGTAGCTGCACGGAGTCCAGGGCCTTGCATTGGGTGAGAGAGGAGCTGCCTGTGCTCATCCCCATGCTCACTCATTACTGGCGACGTGTACTTCCCAAAGGATTCGCTGGATCTTGATCCCAATGAATTTTTAGCAGTACTGTAGGAAGGAGGGGTCAGAGCCCTACTGGACTGGCTGCTGAATTTTCTTTGCTGTTCAGAGGACATTAGCTGCTTCGTTGGCTTAAATGCTAAGGATGATGTCTCAGCACTTCTGTCAAAGCCATTCCCCCGATTTGAGTTTGAAATGCTGTTGTCGGGCATTCTGTACATAGGACTCTGTGTAGATCTCTGTTGGCCATAGCTGTAATTTCCGTAACTGGAGTCCATATCTCCTTGCCCTGCCATATAGAAAGCTTTCCTTTTGAGAGAACTTGCCGAACTGTTTGTCAGGGCTGAGGGTGCAATAGGTGTCAAACTGTGACCCTGGTAGGTGTAGCCAGGAACAGTGGTGGGGGGCAGGGGTGTAGGAGCAGGAATTCCTGAAGGCAGGTATGCTGAAGGAGGAGGAGGTGCACCCCCAGGGCTGTACCCCGATCCCACAGCAGTCTGAGGAGGATAGCTAGCGGAGGGATAGCTGTAACTGGAGAGGTTAGAAGTCCCATTGTAGCCTGGGACCAGGGCTGGTGGCGGAGGAGGTGGTGGTGGTGGCTGTAGGAGCCCAGAGCTATGCAAAGGAGATGGATGAGGTGAAGGAAGTGCAGGTGCTGGTTGGCTACTGTAAGTCGAATGCAAATATGATCCGTTGTATCCTGGGGCGTATTCCTGAGATGAGAGCCCTGCATGAAGACTAGGTACAGTGTGGCTTCCACAGGTACTACTTGAATAACTAGGTTCTGTCAGGTTGCTGGCCACCCCAGGAGAGCTCCCTATACTTGCAGAGACATCTGCTGGAGGGAGGGCTGAACTGACGCCAGCTTTGCTGGCAGTGATAACATCCGGAACACAGTTCATGGGATAAACAGCTTCTGAATTCAAGGAAGGCTGCCAGGGTTCGCTTTCATTTTTCCGACCATTCACTAGTCCTGATGGTGCATCTGAGTAATTGCTGAGTACAGGTCGGTCCACAGGGCCTTCCAAAATGCCAGAATACTTCTCTGCATATTTTTTTAGTAGGTTGGATGCAGTCAGAGCAGATATGTCATCATTCGCCCAGGCATACTGATAGGTGCGCTGCAAATGACCTCTATAGGCTTCAACTTTGTGGGCAGGAGACCGAGTGGTTGAGGTGATGTCAAAGTGCTGTTCTGGCCACTGGGCATGCTCCGGCGTCCACTGCATCTTCAAGCCTAAGGATTTTGGGGGAAAAATGTTAAATTACTTAAATACTTATCAAAACTGTTAAAGTTTTTTCCCTCCAACTTCTTTTGTTACCTATTATTTTCCACTAATAATATAAACATTATAAAGGATTTGCCCAGCTTATACCTATTATGATCTCTATCATATGCATACTATGAAATGGACTGAAAATCAACCCTGTATAAAAACTGAATTTAAATGAAAACTCTGTAGAAGACCTAATTTTTTTTTTATTTTTAAGTAATAAGCAAATCTATTTCTGTTAAGCCTATCAAATATTTTGCTACACACACAGAAAAACACATATATATATGTACACACACATTTCTGTCAAGTTAGAATCCAATCACTGGTTCTTACATTGAAATATGCATACATTTTAAATATCTAAGTTATAATATTAGCATGTGTAATATCTAGCTATTCTGTCTCTCCACATCACAGTTTCTGTTTTCTATTTTAACCAATATAAAAATGAGACACAGCTGACAGATCACATCTAGGATACCTCTCTTATTTGGTACTGAACACCTAGTTAGCACAGTATAATGCTCCCTGCACAGAACAATATGACACAGACATAGCAGGTCATTCCATAATCCAACTCTCATCTAAAGTGGTCCACGACAGTTTCAAATCTGCTTCGTGGAGTGCAGCAAAGCAATCTCCCAGGCAGCGCTCCATCGCTTTCATCGCACAAAGCCTACAACTCGGTATGAATTACAACTGGCTCCTTTCTGCCTCTCAGTTCTGTTGTTGAGTCTGAAAAAAAAACAAGCATCACTTGTCTGTCGGTCTTCTAGCTAGCATTCTCGTTCCTTATGATCCTTCTCTCTGCCTTATAGCCTCTGAATTTCTAAGAGGTGAGGATATACACACACAAACACATACACGAGGTAAGAATATATATATATATACACACACACACACACACACACACACACACACACACACACACACACATACATATGCCAGATACTTCTCATATTATATATAATGTGAGTATTATATATAAGGAGAAAACAGAGGTGAAAGGGAAGAATAGAGAGAGAATGAGAGAATAAGAAGAGGAGAATCTGGATTCTAACTCTACATTTCTGTGTGGCAGAAACTGGACAGGTACTAGATAATGAGATACTATGGGTATTTCTGTCATCTGCTAGGTTACTAACTGAAGCAAGGTGACTAACAAACTATAAAATAAGATGAGAAAATGAGAAAATACTAAGGAGTTAAAATCATTTAAATTTTATAGTTTAAAGAGACCTTTGAAATTACCTCATTTCACAGATTAGAGAACCAGTACCCAAAAGAATTTATAATGTACCATCAAGGACTCACATGTAGTTAGTTACAGAAAGAAGAGCACTGGAACCCTGTTCTATTTCCCAATGCTGGCTCATCCCGTTATAATCTCTGCTGGTTTCGAACGCTTCCTATTTTGGTACAGCTATATTAAGCAGGCCTCCTCAATCTCCTTTGTATTACCCAAAGTGAATTTTGCAAACTGTCTTGTGTCCTCTGGCAGAGACTTCTTGATAAGGAGGAGGCCTGGTCTAAATGGAGCATCTGTGGCATCAGCTCCCTTCTGAATTACCCAGTCTATTTTGACAGCTCCTACCCCCTTCTGCTTTCCTCCTTCAAACCCTTTAGCTCTTCATTGCCTGGCTCTGGCTTCTGACATGGCCAGCTTTGACTTACTGAGCTAAACTGAACATAGCACAGAGTTTGGTAACAGAATGGCATGTTGATTCCCTTCTGACTCCGTCTTTCTTGTTTGCAAAACCACTGCACCAGACACTGGAAGTTAATTAGCAGGATGATGCTGTGCTAATTGTGTTAATTTACAAGGTTTTAGTCAAAGAGAATCATGCCAGGGCTGGCACTGCTGTCATGCTTCCGACTTAATGATTAAGAAATACTGAAAACAAGGTGGGAAGGATTGCAGTAATTACACAATAAATGAATAAAGCAACAGGATTCATTTGCAAATATATTTTACTGCAGTTGTACTCATTTGCATTTGGATTTTTAAAAAGGATCCATGTAGATATTCATTTGCAAATCACCATCTCAGTTAAATTAAGTCTGAAAGCTGCACAGCATAACTTAATCAAGCTTTGCATACATGTATATATATATACACACACATATATATATTTTTAGTAAAAATACTAGACTTTGCTTCTCTTGTACATGCAACAGATTCTTCAGTTTCCCTCACTCCTAAATCTTCATGTTCCTCTTTTTAAACTCTTGTCTTTTAAAACCAATCTCATCAAATTGGAAAAAAATTTGTAAAACTGGATGAAGGGAAGCTTTCATCATTTTACTCAGACAAACTCTAGGTGTTTCATCATTTTACTCAGACAAACTCTAGGAAGAACTAAAGTGATATTCTTAATTGTTTCTGCTTTCTTAGTCATTATTTTTTAAGGGAGAGGAAAACACACTGCAAAATGGGGGAAATGATCGAAACCACACTTAAAGGGGAAAAGATGCAATTTTAATGAAGCAGCATTTCAGGAATCATACTTTCATTAAATTCAACTGGAAATTATTAAGAGCAAATCACCAGGAACCAATCGCAAGTAATCAGTATCTAAATTCTTCTAGTGTCATGGGATTTACTTCAAGCCTTATAAAAAGGAGAGAATATTAATGTGACTATAATGTAGAACTGTCTAGAAGACCTACAAATTTATTAGACTGCAAATTATTTCCAGGGATTTTCTATTAGGATTTTTTTCTTTAAAAGCTTATCAAAATAGAGTTGAGAAAATAAGAGCACACATATTATGAGTTAGACTTTGATTAGATCGATACAGAAGAAATATTTGAATAAGCGTCTTGAAACAAAGTTTCAGAAAATAATTTAGGTGTCATAAGCAACGTAATTGCCTATACAACAAATGCAACACAACACAACACACACATTAAAGGGCATGACTTCTCAGCTGAGCTAAGCCATAGTTGGTATTAACACACATACATGACAAAACTGATTTTTTAAATGCCCATTGAAAAAACTGCTTTAGAATTGGAATAATTTTTTAAAAATGGGCAACCTTCCACCTGTATTGGCTTAATTGCTTTTTTCTTGTAAATTAATCATTTATAAAAATATGCAAAAATGATTTTAGTAAGTTATAATCACTATAAAAGACAGGAATATAAAGTTTAAATAAAGTAGGTTGGATATTTTCACTGGGTATTTCTGCATAGTTTGACTCTAGCAAAACTAATTAAATTTTGTAAGATTTCTATTTCATCTGAAATTAAACAAAGATCCTGTCTATCAAAATTATTTATTTGGAACAATTACTGGATATACCATTGCCTATTGAGTCTTATGCTATTTTTGGATGTGCTTCCCAAGATAATTGAAAGTTTATTTATTGATGCATACTAAATAACAATAATCTTAGTGGGGCTGCAAAAGGCAAGATTGAACTTTGATTAAATAAACTTAAGGGAACAGAATTATTCACATACTCTGAAACACAAGTACTTGTTCAGTGCTTTAAAATCATTAACATATTTGAAAATGTAAGTTAATAGTTTACCATAAGCTAGTTCTTCATATTATTAGGAGCTGAAGAAGCTAGTATTCAGGAGATTGTCCTGGCCTTGAGAGCAAAAAGAGCATTTTCATCAGTTTCTTAAAGTTTAATACTAATTGAAAATAGAACCAAACTTATTTTTGTTGTTGTTATTGTTCTATTTATTGGTGGTGATGTTTCTGATGTGAAATGTATGAAAAACATAGAGCCAAATGTTTTACGAACAAAAAATCATGCTTCCTTTGATTATATTGCTATTATCTGTGAGTAAGAAGCAGCACATGTGTGTCACTTAACCTGGCACCTGAATAATAAGATGGGTTTTAAAAACAGCTTTCAGATGGTTTCTTTTTGGAACACGAAGAGAAAAACCTCAGAAACAATAGTATCTTAACATTATTAGAAATGTGACTCTAGACAATAACTCCTACTGCTGTTTAGAAAAAAGTTTAAATAGGTACAATAAAAATTAAAAAAAAAAAAAACAGTAGAAAGATAGTTTTTAAAGATAATTGAAGAACTGCTCCAAAAGATCAATTTTTATTTTTGAAAGGATTAGAAAATTCTTAGTACAACTGGCAAATTTCACAGTGCAATGTGTTTGTTTTCAAAATGTTTAATTTAATAGAAAATTACTTTTAAGACACTTTAACATGTTACACAAGAATGACAGATTCTATAGTAAAAAGCTTGAGCATTTTGTTATTTTATTGTTATAGGATGAATTTATGTATGTATAAATGAATAAGTCTCTATTTCCCAGAAAACTGGGCAGTTGGATAACATTTTCCATTGTTACCCTTACTGACTATTTCATAACTTAGGTTTAATTACTAAAAGTTGCTGCCTCATTGCTTTACTTCCTCCATTTTGGTCTTTATTTTGAAATGAAACAACTGTGGTATCCTTAAAAGTTCTGTCATAGCTTCAAAATGATAAACTCTTGTATAGAAAAATGAAGGACATAAAAACAACTTTCAGAATGGGAGGAAATTGGAAATCAAAGACTAAGCTTTCTAGAATCTATTTTTAGCACACATTCCTGGAAATATTAATCTAAGGCACTCACTATCCTTCCCCCACCCCTACCAGACATATGCTATTCAGTAGCTCATCGGGTCTAAAAAAGCTGTTCTCTTCTACAGGCTTCCCATGGGGTAATCCTGGCTGCTAGGGACTTTGTCTCCATTTATGAGTTTTCTCAGACTTCCTAAGGGAAGGAACCTGAGGCAAACACCTGCAGGCATGGTGGGCTTTCTTGCTCTAGGATAGCTGCACAGTGCCCACATGGGCCTGCACGACATCACTACACATACTATTACATTCCTTTGGGCTATTGTACTTCTGAACATTTCTTACTACTTTTTAAAATATATTTTTAAAAAATCTAATACCATCTTTACCAAGGTTTCTTTCCAGAAAAC